GTGCAATTTGGAGTGGGGAAAAGGGAGCAGATTCCAAGGGATAAGAATGAGGACAATGAAAGGAGTCCATGCGAGGCATAAGAGGGTCTGACCTGGGGAAGTGGCCCTGAGGATGAACAGCAAGGGCTAACTATGAAAGATAATCCAACAGGGTTTGTTACAGGAGAGACATTCGTCAAAGACAGCACCAAGGTTTTAAATATCATGACTGGGAGAGTTAAGAAACCACTTATAGAATTAAAGAAGTGAAGAGAAAGAGCTAGTTTGGTGAGCTGGAAAGAGTTGTTTAGGTTGGTCTCAGCCCAAGTAAGAGCAAACACACCAGTTAAAAATGTCTGGATTCAAAGGACTAAATAAAGCTCAACAGTAAGATAGAGGTACAGGATATTTCCACATTAATCTCTCTTCATTTGTCTTCTTAATTTTGTCCCTTGAGTCCTTTTTTTTTTTTTTTTTTCCCCTTGAGTCTTAAAGAAAGAGGTTTCTCCTCTGCTCGCCAAAGCTAAGCTCTTACTTTCGTTAGGGAACCTACTCTTATCTCACCACTTCAGGTATCTACCTCAACATTCATACTAGCATCTTCGGTTTTTCCTCCCTGCAAGCTCTCTCCCTTTCACATGCAAACCTGTTCTGACAGAAAACAAAAACTCCTTTTCTTGATACTAACATCCCTTTTGACTAGCACACACCTTTCTCCTTTCACTGATAAACTCTGCAAGTAATTAGTTCCCACTCACCACCCCAAATCCCCACTCTGAATGCCTCTTCTAATCCTGTGCTCCCAAGAGTTTGCAGGGGCCTTCTTTTTATCATGGCCCAGCACTCCTCCTGCTCAAGCTGTCTGCAGCCTGTCATCACATCAGAGCCCATGCTGACTCCCTGGGGTCTTCAGGATCAAGTCTCCTTTGCTGCCGCTTCTGAAATAAGAGTTTCTCCTGGAGAATCTAACTTTAGCCCTTCCCCTTATTCCTCTGCTCCCTCCCTCTGAGAGTTGATGCACTCACAAAGCTTCAGCTGCATTTAGCCTTCCAAATCAGCATCCTCAGCCCTAACTTCCTGCCCATCCTCCTGTCCTGAGTCCCACATTTCCAACTCCTGACAATACAACTCCACCTGCATGTCCCTCATTTGCCTCCAATTCTTCATGTCCAAAGCTAATATCATTATCTGCCCTGCAAAACCAGCTCCTGTCCTTAATCACACCATGTCAGTCAGTTAGGATGCTGCCAGTCCTCTAGGACCTCAACCCAGCTACTTCAGTTTCCTCGTGTGCTTCATTTTCTTCTCCTATAACTAGTTTGTCAGCAAATCCCCACATTTCTACTGCTAAAAATGTTCCCTCTGAGTTGTCCCTGACTCTGCATCTTTGCTGTCACCAACCCAGACCAAACTCTATCCCCACCCCTTAGCTCTGAATCATTTTTGCCTTTCCCTGGATTCCATCTTTTTCTTTTTTTCTCCACTTCATCAGTCACATTACTCCCAGATTAACCTTTCCAAACACAACTTTCTTCATGATGTACCCTTGCTCAAAAACCTATAATGACTCCTTATTAACCCTGAATCAAGTCCGAACTCCTCTCTTGGGCTTTTAAGACTCTCTCTATTTGGCCCTGCCCTACTTATCCAACCCTGTTTCCCATTCCTCACTAACCTACACCCTCCACCCTGTCAGCCCAGACTCCTCAATGCCCCAACCCCCCATTTCCCACTCTCCACCCACTCTTCAAGGACCAACCTAGATTCCTCTGTTGTTCTGTCAACTTTTTAACCTAGAGCACCATAACGCTTAGCAATTAATTAATCTTTAATTGAGTAGTAATTGTCAGTCTTCCAAAAGTTCTTTGAGGGTAGAGACCAATCACTCTGAATATTTTTCTTGTGGTCCACAGCATCCTGGATAGCAGAAGGTTCCTTCTAGTGCGTTGAAAAATCCTTGTTGATTGACTGGTCAATCAGTTTCTATTCCCAGTTCTGAGTTCCTCCTCTGCCTTATAACCACGATCAATAAAACTATCGTAACACACTTTCTCAGGCTTGGAACAGAGAATTCCCAGGAAGATGATCTGGAGTCTACCAATCTATAAGAGTAGTACTCTGTGGGTATATGTGTGTGTGTGTGTGTGTACCAATACATATGCAGGGAAATGAGATTTGGAAATCTACATAATCAGGAGAACTGAAATATCAAAATAATCAGAAGAGAACTGAGAAACCAAAATGACATATTATTTGAAACATGCCTAATTAGAGGCATAGTGTGCCAGGGTTTTGACAAAGCAATGCCACTCTGGTCTGTGCGCATGCAAAATTTTCCATGAGAAAGAAGGGGGTAACCCTGGTGCTAGGGACTTTGAAAATTTATTTAAAGTTTTCTCAATTGCTCAATTGAACAAATGTATAATCTATCCAGCCTACCAGGCATACTACTGTTTCATACAGATGGGGAATCAGAAGGGAGAAGGTTCAGAAACACAGCTTTTCCAGGCTTAGGAATCCCCATCAAGAGCCTAGGATAGAGACTGGAAATGGGGTGAGGATAAGGAAAAAAAGCATAGAAGTCCATGCAGGTTAGGTGGTGGTCCTAGACCTACTCCCTCTTGCAACTTATTACAGGTTGTCAGTCATTTCCAGCCTTATGCATCAAGGATTTAACCTCTCTGATTCTAAGTGCACATCACACCTAGCCCCTCCTAAACAGGGCTGCCCAAAGAGGAAGGAGAATATTCCCAACAAGAGTCCCATGGGAGACTGACCCCAGTCTGCTATTTACTGTGATTTGAGCCAAGACTAGACAATGTAAGCCACAAGTTGTGTTTTGAAAGGCCCCGGAAAAAGTAACACATTGGACCACTATAGGCAATTAACACCATCAACACTGTGAGAACTCATTTGTCAGAAATAAGCAAGCCTCCAGAAACTGAGCTCTGCTCCAGGGGCCTGGGACAGATAATGGACAGGACCTAGTGTCTGGATGGTAGGAAAGATGAAGAAGTGGGTGCCAAAAGAGGAAAGTGGGATCCAGAAAGGCAAGGTGGGAAGGCTTATATTTCAAGATTTTCCCCCAGAGTTAATAAAATGCAGACTTTTGCCCCAGTTGGGAGGCAACGGGGACTCAGCTGGGCCATCCCGGTTGGTGTTTGTGGGTATCACTTAGCCCCCAGAACTTCTTCCCCAGATTCCAGGTTATAAAGAAGTCAGGCACCTCTTTAAAATCCATGCTTTGGGCGGGGGGGGGGGGGGGGGG